ACAAAATCTTCAGCTATTTTTGCAAGATAAAATCATTATCAGAAATAGAAAAGGTTAAACTAAAATAATAGTTTTAGAAAATTATTAAAGCATTAAATTTAGAAATAAATATAGCTTACACTATCAATAATGTTTTGGATTTTTCCTGATATTTTTTCTACCGTATATTTTTTTTTACAAATAGCATTTAATCAATTACAAGATTTCTCTATAAATTTAGTAATTTATTCTAATTTATAAAAAAATTTACTTGCTCGATATGTATCATACGATAAACGAAGAAAATCTTTTCAATTTTCTTCTGCTAGTTTCTTTTTTCTCCAGTTTCTCCGTTCTTTTTTTTGTAATAGAATCGTGTATTGATTTCCATTAAAACTAATATATTTAAATATTAAATCTTATTAGTTATATATGTATTTTGTAAATCAACATACAAATGAGATTTTGATCAGATTTCATTTTGGATGTCGCTTATTTGGGATGTGCTTCGTTCGGGATGTCGTTCATGCAGAATGTGGAATGCTCATTCATTCAGGATGTGATTCTTTCGGGATGTCATTCATTTGGGATCATGGGATTCAGAAATTTGAAAATTCGGGATTTCATATGACAGGACTTATGAATTGTCAAAATTGGTTCCTTATAAATATTCTATATTTACCGATGTATTAACAATGCCTGCAAGTATATTTTGTGATGTAAAAATAATAGAAGCATGCATAGATGTTAGCAGAATTAATAAGTAAATTGCAGATGTAGATATAGAAGTTGACGCAGAAATTGGTAGTTTGCTTGATGCAGAATAGTTGGATTTGCCAATAGCCGAAGTAACAAAGCTATATTTGGAATAGATTCAGAATTTGTCATGATATTTGTATTATTATCATTCTTATCTACAAATAAAAATGTGAAGAATATTAAGATAAGGACACTTCGTCTTTTGTAGTTTGATATCTTTGATATTTATATGACAAGACAAGAACATAATAACATTATCTTATTAAATTAGTGACTGATATTGCAAGTTCTTTTTTATACATTATTATTTATTAAAAATATACTACTGATATACTGTTTCGCCTGAATAAATTATTCAAACACTAATAGACTTACCTTTAAAAAGACAAAAAGCGATAGTTCAGTTAAAGCTTATAATTACACAGTGGGTTATTTGATACTTTGTGACAGTGACTTGAATAACGAATTTGAGGTATTATAGTTTGAAATATAAGCAAACTATTTTATATTTGCAATTTAAAGTTAAAGTTTCAAGGAATAAAATTTATTTCTCATGCTTTTTATATGAAAATTTTTTCCACGCTTACATATAAATAATTGAAATTTTCAAGCTATATGCATTATTCATATTCTTTTAGCAATTATTCCTAATTTTATACCATTTTAAAGTTAGTTTTCAAAAAAAGATTCCTAGCTGTGGACGATTTAAGATGTAAAAGTTGTTTTAATTATAAAATTATATATATATTTTACTGGGTGCCGCCCAACTTCCCGACAACCCAACATCCCGAAATCCAACATCCAACAACCCAACTTCCGACAATCCAGCATTCTGACAACCCAACATCCCGACACCCCAACATCCCGACACCCAACATCCCGAAATTCCAACATCCCAAAAGCCAACATCGCAACAACTCAACTTCCCGACAAACTAGTCATTATAGGGATTCGACAGCTAGTATTTATGAACATTTAAACATCAACGTGATAAATAATTCTTATTAATTGCGCAACTTTATTTTTAATTCGTTAATAACTAACTGATTTTATCATAAAAGGGAATTGAACGTAAATTTTAATTACATATAATAAAAATTTAAGGAGATTGAACGTAAATTTTATATAAAAGAATAAAAGCAACACATATCATTACAAAGAAAGATTGTGCACAATTCCATCTAACACTGAACGATTTGCCCGATCATTAATGACATTTATAATTCTTCCCTCTCTATCAATTATTGGCTTTTGTCGGGGAGTTGGCTGTCGGGAAGTTGGCTTTGTCGGGGAGTTGGCTGTCGGGAAGTTGGCTTTGTCGGGAAGTTGGGTTTTTGGAAAGTGGGGCTGTCGGGATGCTGGATTGTCGTTGTCGGGGTGTTGGATTTCGGGATGTTGGGTGTTAGGATGTTGGGGTAGACCCATAATTTATTATATAATTCATGTACAGTATTCACAGAAAACTATAAAAAATTATATACAAATATGTATGCTTACAATAAAATTAGGTACATTGTTAACAAGTGTATCTATTGCTAAAGATCTTAAATTGTGACTTTTGACTTAATTAATAACATTTCTTGTAAAAAGATTGAATATATTTTACTTAAGAATATTGTAATTTAAAATACTTTCCTAAGTATAGTTCCGTTTTTAATAATTACTATTACTTGCTTCTTTCTCTCCCATTCACTCTAGATAACTCAGATAGTGGCAGTCGTTAAATTATCCCAATTAATATATATGTTCATTCATCAATATAAATACACTTTATAAAGTGAACTCAAAGATGAATTGAATACTCATGGATCAGTAAATGTGACGAGTGTCTGTATAATGAAATGTTTGGTTCGTAAATACTCATGAACGTAGTAAATGTTGGTATTGTCAAGAAAATCATGGATCTATTATCACAAACGAATATATATACATTCGAATCGTCTGACGGAGGGTAAAGATATAGAAAAATTAAAAAAGCTGTATTGTTTAAATGGATTCCTTTGAAAGATTATCAACGTTAAATATCCTACAAAAGGAGGCTTTGGGACAATTTATAAAGCAATCTAATTAGATAGAACATTGGATAGGTTGAACAAAAAAAGGGATTATGAAGGAAATAAATTGGAGCTATATTGAAATCATTCCACAATTCAAAACAAATTGCTTCAGAATTTGCAAAAGAGGTAAAATTAATATTTCTAAAATAAAAGTTTTTTTTAACATTGCAGTTAAATTTTTAAACTAGATTCAGACCGTTCTTAAATGCAGCAACATTGTAACTAAAATCCTAGAACATGTATATCGTATCCTGGAAATATATTAATGTCGTTGAACCTTCCTCAAATTACACGTAGCATTCCAGCAAAGATAGAAATCTAACCAAGAATTTGTGGGATACTTCCTTGTATGAGTTCAGAGGTGTCAGATAAAAAGTCATACACTAACACTGTTGATATTTATAGGTCTTGAAAGATTGTATGTGAAATTGTTACAGATTAACAAGCATTTGGTGAACGAAATCATATATACGTGTATCTTGTAAAGGTATCAAATAATCCCGATTTATTGTTGAAAATGGGGAGACCCTATTCCAGAAAAAAAACCGACTATGATGCGGGAAGTCTTAAAAGTCGTTTCAATTTCAAAATCTATCAGCGCAATAAAGAGCCAAAATTCCACCGGTAACTTGATATAAAGAAAAAAGTTACCGGTGGAATTTCGGCTCTATATTGCGTTGATAGATTTTGAAAGTTGAAACGACTTTTAAGTTACTCTATCGTGCATGGACACATATGCACCGAATGTTTTGGATTTCGGTACTGCAAATCTAAAAATGAAGAATTAAAGAGCGCGTTAAATTAGAAAAACAAAAATTCGGTGAACTTGATGAGGAGATAAAATTGCAAAAAGTATTCCTGCAAATAAAAGCAACATATCCACCCAAATGCAATTTACACAAGTCGAATTTTTGCTTCAAAATTAATATCAATCCAACTGATAAAGGTAACGTTACTAAATTTTCAAATTAATACCGCATGTATATATACATGTATTAAAAAATTTAATTCTAGAATATGAAAATGAAGCAAATGCAATTTACACAAGTCGAATTTTCACTTCAAAATTAATATCAATCCAACTGATAAAGGTAAACGTTACTAAATTTTCAAATTAATACCGCATGTATATACATGTATTAAAAAATTTAATTCTAGAATATGAAAATGAAGCAAATGAAGTTAATTCTAATTTTCTTTTGTATGATATCTAATTAACGACGATGATGAAACGAAGATTACGGGTCGGAAGGACTAAATAAACGGGGAAAAATTTAATATTAATTTGATTGGATAGAGTGGATGATAGTATTAATTTTATTCGTGTTTAATGATGATTCCAGATGGTATTTTTCAATAATTAACGTTAATATTATCGTTATCAATAAGGAATTTTTCTATTTACATGCATTACATCACTAACGTAGGCGCGAGAATCACGACATCCAAGATCCCGACAGTCGAAAATCCGGTATTTAGATCCCAATATGTCATATATTGATCAATAATTCAATTCGTTATATATTTATATTATCAAGAATGCATAGAGAATTAAATGAAAAGGATTTCGTGCTTAAAATGATTTATTTTTGTACAAATAAATTCAAAGGATTATTTTAATAAACACAATCGATGAAACACCATATAATTCGCGTAAAGAAATACACAATAAAATAAGGTTCGATTAACTTAAAGTTTGGCATCGTCGCATCGATATGTTATTAATTAATTGTCTCTATAAATACGTGTCTTTATTTTCCTCATATTATCACATTTAAATTTTTTATATGTCATAACAAGTTAATAATTTCTATCTTAGCCATAGTAAATAAATTATGACCGGCAACCCGGCTTTTACTTTAAATTTATGTTGAAAAAACCTTGAAAAGAGTCCATTCATTTTAAGGGGAAATCGTTCTAACATTTTCCAATGCCATTTTGTATGCATAAAGAATATTCCATTTTTGTATATATAAAAATTAGTCACATTTATGGTATAGTAATACATGTAGATGCTATTTGTCTTAATACTTTAGAAGCGCACATTACGTATGCGAGTTCATTCAGATTGTGATTACATGTAATTAGAACGAAAATGAATGAACACCCTTTTTCAGTAACGACGGGGGTACACGTGAAAAATGTAAAATTATTTAGCAAACCGCGGGATGAGTGTCAAGAAAATATTTCACCTTTAATTTAATCATGAATTTTATTATCATTGACCAAACTATCTTCCGACCACTTATACAATATTCTAATCATTGGCAAATGTGGAAGAAATTAGTTAAACTTTCGTTTCTTTTAACCATCATAGTTTTGGCTTGTAAGATAGCCCTTTCATATCATGAAAGAGAATCTTTCGGCCGCAACCTCAGCGGTCTTTCATCAAATCTATTAACATTAAAAGATGAATACAATTTAATATCTACGCTTCAACAACGATTCACACCTAATCGTAAATGTAAAAATTTAGTGGACAACAATGCTGATAATGATGAAGAAAAATTTATTACCTATCTTCCCCATAGTGGATTTCATAATCAGCGCATCGCTTTAGAGAACGCAATTTTTATAGCATGGTATACAAATCGTACATTGATTGTGCCACCGGTTATACTCGGAAAAAAAATCGCCTGGATAAAAAATCCAAAACTTTCCAACAATCTTGCCAAATTGAATGCCACCAAAAATCTCGACGAATGTCACTCTTTCCCAGCGCGTTCGCTACGATATGAACGGTGCATTAAAGGATATAATGCTTATACATTGTTCCCATGGGACAAATTAATGGATCTGGGTTCCATTCGAAATCACATCTCGATAATAAACCGACAAGATTTCAATCCTCAAGATCTATATAAATTAATTAACATCACGGATCCCACAGAAGAAGTATATTATGTGAAGGAAAAATCCAGATATGATATTCAGTTTTATGATCAAGATGGCGCATTAAACCGAAAACAAAATCCGAAATTTGAACGTCAATTACCGCTTTGTAGTTTACTAAATCGTAAGGAGAAATTAGTGCATTTTCGCAGCATATTTAGTTCTAATAGGATAAAAACGAGTCTTTACGACAATCAAATATTCAGAGAAATGGTTAAGAAAAAATTAGTGTTTAATCATCCCATCTTAACAAAAGTGGTTAAAAGAATCACGCGCAAATTGGGTGGATCGGAAAAATACATCGGACTACACTTACGCGTCGGAGATAACGGGTACCTTGACTCTAAAGCAGAATTAATCCGATCCATGATCAAAGCGATTAAAAATGAGGAAGGAATCAATCAAGAGAGTGACAATTTTAATGAGACGAATAATGACAATGATGGTGATGATGGTATTAGAAAACCAACGCTATCCATTAATTATATTGAAAAATGCGCAAATACTCGATCCTTATTTATTGCTACCGATGGAAAAGTAAGTGATCCTGTAATTCAACCAATATTTACAACATTTCCTTGCACATTTACAATCAAGGATTTCTCCGATGAGATTCAATTATTGAAGCAAGCAAAAAATAATGTGGACAATTCATCTTTATATGCATACTTTTTACCAATGGTGGATCTGATGGTTTCTGCACATGGCAGTAAATTCTTTGGAACTTACGGCTCAACATTCTCCGCTTATGCTCTGCGATTACATCAAGTGTGGATTCCAGATGGTACAGGAAAAATGATATCGATAAATCAAGGATAATTTGCATTTATTACGAGACAATTAGATATGCTGTATTCTTCCGAGATGAACACCACTCAAGAATATGCACCATGGTTAGAGTAATCTTCGGCACACTTTAAATACCATTTCAAAATCGAATTTATACGCTGGCCAGCATTTTTGTGATTTAACATATCGTTGACTTAAGGGTTAATCGTGTGATATACATATCGATACAATTAGAAAATTATAGAATATAAATGTTAATAATAAGAAAACCTTAATATTAATTTTGTTTAATGCCCAATATTTTCGATAGATTCATATTTTTCATTGCGTCATTATATGTGCAATTTCAACGAATTATTCCACTAGTTAATGATTAACATCTGTTGACGATGACGTTTCTCTAGAATCAAAATTTTTCGACATCCAAACTTTCATTCAATATTAATATAGACTAATAAAAACTCGTTCGCCGTCATATCAGATTAGCAAGAAACGGTTTTGATAGAATTTTTATTTTGCCACCGTTAGTGCAGATGTGCATGTATGCGAAAAATGCGGGTGGTTGTTAGTTTGAAACTAAATGTGCTAAAAGAAGTCAGTTGATACGTAAAAGATCTTTTGGCAGCTCTTCGTTTTAGTTTTCTCCAACGCAGTCAAAGTTCTTTACAACGGCTCATTGCTCTAAAACTTTTGAGCCGGTATATATACGTTTTTACATAAGGGAAAAAGGGGGTATTATGACGAAGAGGGTATCGTGACGAAGACGGGTATTATGAAGAAATCAATGTCAAAAAATGCCTACCACTACACATAACTAATGAAGATAAAATTGTCACAATTAAGCTTCTATTATTTTGAATATTAATGTGAAATTAAACAACAAAATTATGATGAATATTTTTATACATTATCATTGTTTCTAAAAGATTTGTTATCATGAAAATTCCGGCTAAAATTTTATCTCCACCTTCAGTACCATTAATTCTATCTTTGCAGGTACATTCCTTACAATCATGAGTTTGTAAACTAAACACTCATTGCAGTATTCATCTTCTTGATTTACTACAATCATTTCATCGTGAGTTCACTTTATAAAATTCGTTTATATGAATTTCTTGGAATTGTAATAAACAAGCGAGATAATTGTTATTATTATACTATTACGTATGCGAACTTGGCGTTAGATCCTTGGTAAAAACATATTTATGTATTATTATTTGTGTTTGAATTTTTTTAAACAATAACGATAACAATAATGTAAAGTAACTCGTCAAATGAAAATAGATATTTAAATTTTTTTTGAGTTGGCTTTGTGATTTTATTTTCTGTGATTTTTATTTTAAACCACTACCATTGGCCTGCATGTGTCCTGAATAACGATAACGATAACGATAAGCTTTTAATGTATGTCAATTTATACACGATAAAAAAACTGCATGCACACACGACAACGATTATCTCTCGTTTGTTTCAACCAATTCACGCATTTTATCCACTGAACTCGAAGATGGAATCAAATACATGTACTCATTATTGGTAATGAATGTACTAAATAAATGTCGAAATAATAGATACTACTATACGTGTGTGTTTTATATTACAAACGAATTTATAATGATGAATTGTCTAAGATATTGACAATCTAATAAAAGAATATATTCAAATGGATTCCTTTTGAAAGATTTACCAACGTAGAATATCTTGCAAAAGGAGGTTTACGTCGATTTATAAAGCGACCGGTTGGACGGTCCATTGATTGTATCATAATGAAAATAAATTTAAACGAAGAGGAAACATCATTTCACAATTCAAACAAATTACTCAAGAGTTTATACACGAGGTAAAAATTTTCTAAAGTGTAAAGTTGCTTTTTATTTTCTGACGCAGACTGCTCTTATTAGATTCAGCATTCATGATTTAGATTTGTTATCATTATTGATTATTATGGAGTAACTAAAAAACCCAGATATAAATGAATATTCGATAGTGATGACTTATGCAAAACATGACTTTCAACTTGGAACTATGCTGATTTTTGGATCTCATATTGCTGATTTTGGGCTTACCGGTCCAGCAGATATAGAAAAATCTAATCAAGAAATTGTGGAGTACTATCCTTATATGAGTCCAGAAGTGTTAAATGGAGAGCCATACACTAACGCTGCTCACATTTATACTGTAGCTTTGGAATAGTTATATACGAAATTGCAGCAGAAAAGCGACCATTCGGTGAACGAAGCCATGATCATTATCTCGTATTAGACATCCATAAAGGAGTACGACCCACGATTCCACATAGTGTTCCCGGATGGTGTAAATTTATTATTGAAAAATGTTGGGATCATATTCAGAAAATAGGGCAACCGCTGGGAACTTGAAGGCTTTGCCGGATCTGTCAACAATACATCTAAAATAAAACCGAAATTTAATGCTTTTCATTTTCAGTACTACAGTTCTTTAGAGTATCCTAAGACAGATAAAGAAATTAAAAAGTGTGTTAAATTAGAAAAGCAGCAAAATGGCATTCTTCCTACGAAAATAAACAAAAAACAACAAATTCACTCCACTCAAATGCAATTTACATCAGTCGAATATTTACTTCGAAATTAACAACAATCCCAATTTTCGTTTTATATACGCACATGCACGTAATAACGTTAAATATTGTTGAATCTACAGGTCTCATAGACTTTTGAAGTGTCCATTCCCATTCCTTGTGACATGTATTAAAGTAACCTTTTCTATTATTGTTATCGTTATGCTATATTTATTAAGAAAATTATCGTAGATTTTGTTAACTACATGTAATAAGAATGAAAAGAATAGCGAAATTAATACATGACCTTTATAAATGCATGTTCTCTAAAGCTCCGTTCGGGTCGGTTCGGATCGGGTTTCTGGATAAGCCGGTCCGAATTCATGGGGAGACATTTATATGATTGGCCGTTACTGACCGGGTAGCTTACTTATATGCTTTAAAGTACTTTTCAAGAACACAGCGGTTTACAATAAAAATCATGATAAAAACTGTCTTTAAACACACATTACGATTCATTATACAAAATAACCTCAAAATTTTGGCACTTTTACTTAGAAAGTAAATTTATTGTTTATTACTATAGGTATTTTAAGTTATATGCTTTAGTAATTCATTGTACAAACTAATAATTCAAAATCAGAGATTATTTTAACTAGACAATAAATATGTCATAATCTACACCTATTGTACCTTGTGTAATTACAATATGCTGAAGAAAGTCAGACTGATGGAAATGAATAACTGGTTGGTAATAAAAAATGTCATCTCTTTCACCCGTACACCTCACGGGTATCTCAAACAACGCCTTACAAAATATCGAAACTCAAAACTGTGTTCCTTCTCAGCAAGAATTTAATGAAACTTCTCCTGGTCTTGTCTCCAAATGTACCAGGGCATTTACCCTGGATGAAGAAAGCCAAGATAGTGACTTTGAACATCCTTCTACCAGGCAAACTAAGGAAAAAAACAAGCGAAGAATTTCCTTCACTATGGAATCTGGCACCCCATCCGGTCATGACGAATGGCTTTCTCTTCCACATCAAAATCTAGATGCATCTCGTCATGCCTCTTACTATTCCCCAACCTCTTTTCCACCTGTCATGTATGGCAATTTTCCACCTTATCCCCATTACTCTCCCTTTCACATGTATAATTATGGTAATGGAAACTTCAATAACTCACCTAATCCAGAATCCAACAACGTGATTGATCACCATCACATTAGAAGATCCCACACTACACAGCCCTCCAATCTAATCAGGAAATCTCTTCGGATAACTCCAAGTCTTCCACAAATCCAAAAGAAAAACTCTCACAAAAGAAACCTTCTTCCTATACCAACACCACTAAATATATCTTGGGCAAACCAACTTACAATATCACAAAAGACCATGATATCTTTCTTCAAACAGACAGTGACTTTCCTCTCATATATGATATTTTGTAACTTCAACTCATCCCAGACAACCAACTTATTTCCTCTTCTCATCTTCAATTTGGCACTGATGCGTTTGGTACCAAGCTAAAATACATTCATGGCAAATATACCTATCTAGAAGTTGCTTTTGCTTCTGAAGAATCTCAACTGAAATGGGAAGATAAAATTCTCATTATAGCTGGCAAAA